TTTGAAACGGTTAGAAAAAAATACATTTCGGTTTTCTCCTGACATATTTTTTTCATTTCTGTTTGGTTTCGAAGTTTTCATTTCGGTGCACTTCTATAAAAAAGTTTTGGCTATAGTTCTCTTTTAAGGTGCTGCATATTTTGTTATGAGAAAGGTACGGGGGCTGCCATTGCTGACCTTTATGTTGAGAATGTTGGGTTCCAGATTGTCATGCTGACTCATTTACAACCGGCTTGTTCCAGGTCTGTTGCTCAAACATATTGAAGCTAGACACAGCCAGGCAACTTTAATTAAAGCTTCTGGATCAATCTTTTCCAACCTTCGGGCTAATTAAAGTGCGTGTTAACCCAAGCACTAAAAATCTTCTATTCTTTAGCAGGTTTATGTAATTTCTTAGTAACATTTTTGAAAATGGCTATCTGCAGCTTGCATTGTAAAGCTGATCCCTGGACTCCCCCTTTGGCCCCCACCCTCCTCTAACTGATGGCATTATAAATGGCCTTTTTTACTCATCGTAGGATCGCTGCACACCTAGGTGACACCTCACTACGCGGCCATCGTGCATTATCCCGCACGGATTGCCACGCGGTCAGGAGTCGCCTAGGTGTGCACCAATCGCACTGTGGGTGCCATTATTTTCTTATGGCACCCCAGTCCCGCCGGGCGGATCGCATGGTTGTCCCGCCCGCGAGTCGTGTATCGCAAAAGAAAAAAAAGGCACATGTACCTTTTTTTCTGTGATTGCCGCACAGATGTCACCGCATTAAAATCAATGGGGCCGCGCGGCAATCGCGGCCTGCATTGTGCAGGCCTGCCCGATCCCGGATCGCGTAGATCTGTACCGGGCCTAAAAGCTTGTGGTCACGTGTCATACCAGGCCAGAGTCTTCTCTCATGTTCATAGGAGGGCAGGGTCCTCCTGGTGTTCAATTCACTGCCTGTAGGAGATGGTCCTTGTACAGCCACTTCCTGATATAGGGTGACCACATTCTATCCCGGTCACTGAATTGTACACCGGCGGTGTCAGCCTGTCACATGGGCTTTTGTTGGAGACTACTGATAGCCATTAAGCCATCACTGGCGTGTACCCAGGTAAACAGAAAGTGGCTGCAAAGAGGCTGCAGGAGATCAACAACAGCACTGCTATGCAACAAGGGATAAAAAAGGTGAAAAACAGTAAAACAAAAATGGCAGTTTATGATGCACACTACTTTAGCAAACTAACTTAGTTTGGGTTTGCATTTAATATAATTTGTGGTAGACTTGCCTGAACCTACTGTATATTCCTGGTATCCATAGGTGCGTCACTTAGTGCAGGAAACGTATTGCTTATTGCTCACTCTTTGTAACCTTTAGCTTAAATACTGCTGCAGATTAACATTAACAAAGTAAACACCCCTCAATGTTACAATAATTGCTAATGTCTTAGTCTGGGTTTCTTCAGTAATATTGTTCAGCTGAAAATGGTTTACTGTGTTTCTTATCAATGGGAAGAATTGTGCTCCTTTCTGGAGAAAGATATGGTGTGTAGGAACGTTTGCTTATTCATCCTCTGGCCAGTTTGATTACAGATGCCGAGCACTAGATAAACGTTCCTAATACCTACAGCCTGCCTGCAGTGACATGCTGCCATTCTGTCTAAGCATTTTATTAGAACGGCATCATTTCAGTAAAAAAACATGAAGGTTACCGTATTTTGCTTCTATTTATATGTTTTTATATAGACTGAAGGAAATCCTACGCCAAAGTATTCTTATCATTGTTTACATCTAAAATGACCATGCAACACACCCCTTGCATGTCATTGCCCTCTCCTGTATTAGGACTGCCTGATTGCTCTTAGTGCTGACATCGCATCCAAGATGGCGGCACCAAGCAGCAGTTTTTAGGGCTTTTAAATGTCTACACAGGGGAGGCTTTTGGAGGTAAATAACATGTCTAATATGCACATGAAATCTTATTAAAAGATTGTTGAAATGCGTGGTCTGGCAACAGGATCGCCTTAGGTATCCAGACCTCATCTGCAGTGAAATATATCTTTTGGGTGGATAGGTCCCTTTTGCCTTTCGACTGTCAGTGATCTGTCCCACAATCAAAGGGCTAAAACAAGCCTGCAACAGTAGCAGCCTTTAGCTGTGTTTCAGCAGACTTCTGGATTTCTGATAAGTGATCTGGGTGTCTGTAGAGCCACCTATTTGCTTTTAATGGGCATGGTATGTGCAGGGCCCCCCTGCTGCTCCTAGGAGCCTGGGACCATAGCAAATACTCTAAGGATGGCAAGTAGGGCTGCAACAACTAATCGACATAATCGATTATAATCGATTATTGAAAAAGTTGTCAACTTTTTCAATCATCGATTTTAATCGGCTTCTGATTGGTTGGCCCTATAAGGCTCCACACACGCTGCGTGCCGCACCTAGGCCATCACCTAAAATTGGTGGAAAAAAAATTCCAGCACAAGGGGCGAAGGGGGTTCTTCACAGTAAGATCAGTTAGGGTCTGGAACTCACTGCCACAGACAGTGATTTCAGCAAAGAATGTGGAATTGTTCAAGAAACTTTTGGACGATTTCTTAAGGGACCGTAATATACAGGGGTACAGGTACTCCTAGAATGAGATCCTAATAGGTTGGACTTGATGGACTAATGTCTTTATTCAACCTCAAATACTATGTAACTATGTATTCTGCATTGCGCTGTATAGAGGACTACAAATATAGCAATAATGCATTATACAGCGCAATGCAGAATACCACCAGCTATAATGTACTATTGCTGGGATTTGTAGTCCTCTATAGCCGGTGCCATTCTGCATTCATTGCTGTATAATTTTACACTTTCCATGTCACTATATTGCACACCACAGTTTTTTTTTCTTTTTTACTTCCACCGCTCCCGGCTCGCTCCAGTGATGGATTACAACCTCAATACAAACTAGAAGTCCCATCACTGGAGCCATTTAAAAAAAATTTATTTTATTTTTTATCCGATTAACCGATTAATCGAACGTAATAATCGGCTAACTAATCGATTTTGAAAATAATCGTTAGCTGCAGCTCTAATGGCGAGCAGGAGCAGATGGAAAAACACCCATTCCCTGATCTGCCCCGAAGCTCTCGGCTCGGAGCACTTCTGGGTTTAGAGCTGTCAGAACCCATCAGCTCTGGCCAGAAAAACAAGAAGATAGAGCATTGTTTAAAGGAGAACTATGGGGTCAGGGCTTTTCCCCGTAGTTCTCCTTAGGGTAACGGGAGGACACAAACTAGCGTCCTCCCGTCACCCTAGTCTCAGTATACCGCGAGCTACGACTCGCGGTATACTGAGACGCCGCAGCCGGAGCGGATCCCAACATCGATGTCGAGATCCGCCCAGCTGCGTGAGTGACAGCTGGCTCTGCCTATCTAGAGGCAGAGCCAGCTGTACCCGCCCCCTCCCCCGTCCGTTCCGCCAGTCAGCGCTGGCGGATCGGAGCCGGGAGAGGGGAATCCAGCCCCTCCCTCTGTCACGGCAGAGAGCCGTGACAGGATCGAGAGGTGAGCGAACCCGGTATGTGTTCGCTCACCTCCCGATCTACTGAGCCGATCTGTGACAGTCTCATTGTCACAGGTCGGCTAGAACTATGAGGTGAGTGAAAAGCACTCGCCTCATAGTTCTCCTTTTAAGTTTGATCTTGTTTACTGGGGTGCAGATGAGATGTTAGTTGTCTAATAGACCCCTGATTCATCCGTAAAGAGAACGTGTCACGCCATATATGCTATCGCATAGGAGGCTTCTCAGTCCCCTTGTGATGGCAACAAGAGTAAAGTGTGAAAAAGTGTGTAGAGCGTGCTCACGTGTAACCGACGATTGCTCCACAAGTTGGGTATGACTGCGCATGGTGGAGTGAGTGGAATCATTTTAGGGCCATTAAATATGGTTAACTCTAACTGGTGAGCTGTAAAGGCTTTTGTAGCTTCATCTATGCTAGGGCTGCAGCTAACTATTATTCTCGTAATCGATTAGTTGCCCGGTTATTTTTTCAACTGTTGCCAATTGCCAATCATAATTGAATAGTTGTTGCAGCCCTAATCTATGCACAGTTTTGGGTGTAATTTGTTTTGCAGATTTGTAGCAATGTTATGGCTTTGACATGTTTGGTAGAATTTGCGACTACCATATTGTTTTTTCTGCAGGTCCTCTTCTTTCAGAAGATTTATGTTGTTTTGTTGGGTTTAAGTAACCTTCAGGCGTAAAATGTGCATTATAATGTGTGTGCAAAACATGGGAAAAAACTTCTTTAGAAGGATTAAAGTGAGCTATAAAGTGTGTGATGAGTGCTTGCCAGGAGATCAAGTGTGGACTGCCTCTAGATTTACAGGGTGTAATTGTGAGTTCCTACTCCTGGCTTTCCTCATTATGTAAGCAGGGCTGGAGCCAGTCTGTACACATTCCTTAAAAATGTAATTCCTTAAAAATTACAGCCGCCATCTGGTTTATGAGGTTTGTCTTGGTTGTCAAGGGAGCTGGCTCCTAAAGAAAAAAAATCCTGCTGGCTCCTGCATTGTACAGACTGGCTCCTGAATTCCAAATAATTTTGTCCGCCCCTGTATTAAAGCAATTCTTAGAGTTAGAGGAAAGTTAAACCTTACTTGTCCCCTCGCCCATGCTTCTGATCTTTGCACTGTGTCTAAGCTGGCTGAGAAATCTTTAACATCCCTTACTTCTGGCACTTATCGGGTGGTTTTGTCCTTCGTGTCCTGTAGTGAGGTAGCAAGCAGTGGAATGAACCACAGTGTGCAGCAGGGGAGACCCAGGCATCTGATAATACCAGAAGTGTGTTTGATGCTGAAGATTTGGAAGTATTACCTATAACAGGTTTATTTTTTCCATTTGTTTATTTTTTCTCATAGTGGCTTTAATACTGGTATTTACTTTTATGCCGTGCATTCCTTCTGTTACTCTTTAGGTTTTTGTATGCGCTATTATTTTATTAACATTTTCTTTTCTTTTTTTTCTAGGGGGAAAAGAATAATGGATTTGATGTGCTATATCACAACATGAAACATGGCCAGATATCAACGAAGGAGCTCTCTGAATTTATCCGTGAAAGGTGCTACATTGTAATGTGTATATTTGTGTGTGACCCGCAATGTATAGGATTAGAAAATAGTGGTTAGACTGTTTGTGCTGTGCCAAGGGCTCTGAAAGCATCCAAGGCAGCCTGGAAATGACTGTCTGTATTGCGGCGGTGTGCAGCTGCTTTCTCTACCATTCCTCTCATCTCCCACATGTGAAAGAATAAGCAGAACACCTGCCTCTTTGTTGATGACGGAGGCATTCATGGTGGTGGGCCAGGTGTGATCAGACGTCCCTGGAAACCTTTTATCACAATTAATGGTGCCTGAGTTTAAAGAACTCCATGGAGCTCATTTCTGTGCAGATAGGAGAGCGAAGTGTAAGGTGCAAATTACACTCCTGTGGCATCCTTAGAGACATCAGGTGATCTGTATTTTGGCTCCTCCACATCACTTGCACTGCTGACATGCTCATGAGAGCTACTCTGCAGCATGTGAGGAAATTGAGAAATCCCTATAGACTTCAGTGGACATAACTATTGCAATTAGCATAAGGCAGAGTGATGTTTGGGTTCTTGTGTTGTGAAGACTGCGGAAGTACTTCCTGTCCTTGAGTGCTGCTAGAAAATCTGGAAATATCAATAGACTTCAGTGGGCCCAACCATCCCATGCTGACCTAAATCAGCAGAGTGGAGGACTAGAAGTGTGCCAGGCCAGGGGGGTGCTAACATTTTAAAGCAGCTAATCTTGTGTTGAAGGAAGGCACAGTAAATTTAATTGATCACTGGTCTTATCACAACTACTACAAAAGCTTCATAAGGTTCTTTACTAGAGAACTAGAGTCTTTTTTTTTTTTTTCTTTTTTTAGACATATGTTGAATGGCACAATGTAAGGTCCCCTTATCAGTTGTGTTTGTGTGTGTGTGTGTGTGTGTGTGTGTAGTCTGTAGTCTGTAAATGTGTCTGTATATGTATACACACCGATCAGACATAACATTATGACCACTGAGAGGTGAAGTGAATAACATTGATTATCTGGTTACAATGGTACCTGGAAGTCAGGGGGGGGAGGGCAGGGATATATTAGGCAGCTATTAAACATTTTGTCCCTGAAGTTGATGTGTGGGAGGCAGAAAAAATAGGCAAACGTAAGAATTTAATCGACTTTTACAAGAGCCACATTGTGATGACGAGACTGACTGAGCAACTCCAAAACATCATAGGATTGTCGGCGGGTTTGTGGCGTGCTCGTAAGACAAATGCCCCACGGGCCTGTGTGCACAAGCGCACACTGCCCGCTCAGCATTGCAGTCATCGGAAGCCCTCCCCTCAGCGGGGCGGGCTTGCGATGATCGCAAGTACGATCTGCCTGTCCAAGATGGGCAGATCGTACAAGCTTTTAATTACCTTACAACCATCGCAAGATGAAAGTCATGCGATGGCTGTAAAGTGTATGGCCATCTTTAGGCTCATTGATGCATGTTGGCAGTGAAGGCTGACCTATGTAGTCCGATCCAATAGAAGAGCTACTGTAGTTCAATTTGCTGAAAACGTTAGTACTGGTTCTGAGAGAAAAGTGTTTATTGCATATGGGGCTGTGTAGCCGCAGACCGGTCAGCGTGCCCATGCTGACTTTTGTCCACTGCCAAAAGTGCCTACAATGGGCTCATGAGCATTAGAACTGGACCACGGATCGATGGAAGTAGGTGGCCCGGTGTGATGAATGACATTTTATTTTACGTCATGTGAATGGCCAGGTACGGGGTTGTCAGTTTACCTTGGGAAGGAATGACACCGGGATGCACTATGGGAAGAAGCAAGCCGATGGAGGCAGTGTGATGCTTTGGGCAATGTCATGTTGTGAAACCTTGGATCCTGCCATTTATGTGGATGTTACTTTGACATTGTTGCTGACCAAGTTCACCCCTTCATGGAAATGGTACTCCCTGATGGCAGAGGCCTCTTTCAGCAGGATAATGCGCCCCGGCCACACTGCAAAAATGGTTCTAAAAAGGTTTGAGGAACACAACAACAAGTTTGGGGGTGTTGACTGTGCATGCAAATTCTCCAGATCTCAATCCAATCGAGTACCTGTGGGACTTGGTTGAAAAACAAGTCTGATCCATGGGGGCCCCACCTCGCAGCTTATAGGTTGGTGCCAGATACCACAGTATACCTTCAGAGGTCTAGTGGAGTCCATGCCTCAATTGGTCAGGGATGTTTTGATGGCACAAGGGGGACCTACTCAATATAATGAACAGTGAATCAATAACCTAAAACATACATGCATCCAGTGAAGTCTGAAAGTCTTAATTCCTTTCATATGTGCTGCTCTTATATTATTCATGACTTTCTTTATCCAGCGTTCTGGAAGATTTGCAAACCTTTAGCTTTTGTTTTGGTCACTTATTCAGCTGCAATGGCTAATTGTTGCATTGCTTGTGACCATGAGATATTACACAACCAGAATAAGCAACAGAAAGATCACTTTATTAAGAATTTGTGATTTCATTTATGGTAATATTATCATGAGTCCCATGAATCGGTGGAGCAGGGTAGTGTCAGCCTTGTGTCATTGCTCTTTGTCACTGGAAACAGTCAAGGCTTTGTGATTCCAGCTGTGTCCTATTTAGTCCTGAATTATTGCATCCAAATTGTTGCCAAAAAACACTAGCTTTGGCAGTTGTTACCAGCTGTAACATTTAACCCTTTTTCATCCTAGAGCTATTGTTTACTCTCAGACATGATCAGAACTAGAGATCCCACCATAATGTCAACAAACATTTCACTTCTTGCATGCTTTGGAGTAGTAGTTCTCAGACTATGAAGAGCGCCTTGGCTGTACAGTTTGCTACGTGCATGGTTTGGAGTAGTAGTTCTCAGACTAAGAAGAGGGCCTTAGCTGTACAGCTTGCTACAAGCATGCTTTGGAGTAGTAGTTCTCAGACTAAGAAGAGGGCCTTAGCTGTACAGCTTGCTACAAGCATGCTTTGGAGTAGTAGTTCTCAGACTGTGAAGAGGGCCTTGGCTGTAGAGCTTGCTACATGCATGGTTTGGAGTAGTAGTTCTCAGACTAAGAAGAGGGCCTTGGCTGCACAGCTTGCTACAGGCATAGTTTGGAGTAGTAGTTCTCCAACTAAGAAGAGGGCCTTGGCTGTACGGCTTGCTACACAGAGGGACTTCATAGATTTTCCATGGTAGCATTTTTAGATTTTCTTTTTTGTTTTTCATATTTTTTTTCTGTATCTATAAATCCAATCAAATTGCATATAAGGGTTATATTCAAAGCCACCTTTTGCATTTGGTTCAGGTTTTTAGATTTTAAATGATGTGCATCTCATCATCACGAGCCCTGGGCGTCATCTGGACATAAGTGTTGGCAAAGTAGTTTTAAATTGACAAACTTTTTAGAGTTTTTTTTTTGTTTTGTTTTGTGAATAACTTTTTATTTTATTATTTTCATACAAACAAGGTAAGGTTTACAGTATATATAGCAAGTCGCATCAGGTGGACAGTAATAAGAGATTCACAGAGAGGGTGTATACAGATGGATCAGGGCCATCCCACCTAGCAGCACTCACATTTGCGCTTACATTTGATAAGATCAGTTAGACATCATTATTACGGGCCATGTAGACCATTAGTAAGTATGCATAATTAGGTTCAATTCTTGAGCATGAGTTACAATAGATATATCCCGTGAGATAAGCCACTATGTGCTCCCTTCCTATAAACAATTATGCTGTCCAGATTGTGCATAGCTAAAATCAAGCCTATCTTAGTATTTAAACTTAAAGTGAAAACATGTCATGCATATGGAAACATGTACAAACCCATTTCCGGTTTCAGACGTAAGTATACTCAAGCATAAACCCATACCAACATAGAACTAAAGAAGCGCCTAAATGCACTTCGTAAATGGTTAACAAACTACCACACTGCCCCAGCCTCGGTTCGCCATTAGCAATCCCCTCTCCCCCCACGGATCCATCTTCCGAATTTCAGTTCGGCTCAGGGTGATCCTATGACCACGCTGCTGTTATCACGCCCCAACCCACTGGACACAGGACTACCCCGGGTTGCATCCCCTGACTTCAGTATCTGAATTTCCATATAATCCCAGGCTGCCCACACCTTCTTATAAATATGTAAAGTATTATTCAGTCTGGCCGTTAGAAGTTCCATCTCCTGCACCTCTTTGATGTGTTGGTAAAAATCCACCTCAGATGGGGGGGCTTGGCGTTTCCAATGGAGGGCAATGAGGCAACGAGCTGCCGTCAGGATATGGGAGGCCAATTTCCACCCATATTTTCGGAGGTGCAGGAACGGAAGTCCCAACAAGTAATGGATGGGTTCTAGCGGTATCTTTAATTGCAGCAGGCTCTCCAATGTAGTTTGTACCATCTTCCAGAAAACCTGCAGTTGTGGGCAGAACCAATATATATGGTATAGAGAACCTGTGTGTCCGTCAATTCGCCAGCATGCTGGCGATACGGTCGGGAATATAGAATGCAGAAGTTCGGGAGTATAGTACCACCGATACAATATTTTATACTGGTTCTCCTTATAAGTTGAACATATGGACGATTTTGCTGCCGCCCTCCATATCATCTCCCATTGATCCCTCGTGATAGGAGCCCCCAGGTCCTTTTCCCATTGGATCATATAAGGGTGTTGGATAAAATGTTCCGGGTGCGGAGTGAGTAGCATTTGATATATAGCTGAAATCATACCTTTCTGGGAGGGATCGGAACTGCAAAGCATTTCAAAGGGTGTTCTTTTATCAAATTTGAGGTTCGGGGATATGGATTGAGCATAGTGTTTAATCTGTAAAAATGGAAACATGGTTTTGGGAGGTAGCTCATGTCTATTTCTAATTGCAAGGTCAAAGTACACAGGGAATTACCGTCCTTACGTCGGGCTGGCCGGGACCACAACATAGCACTGGGGTGGACTGGCGCCAGCCACTGAAATTCAATTTCCGCTCATCTGGATTGAGGTATGGGGGAGCAGAGTGCAGGAATAGTTCGCAGTT